AATGGGTGTTTACATAGTCTCAGTGTAACTCCCCATAAGATACTTATTTCAAAGGGGAATATGCTAACAACAGTAAGCAATCTGGCAAAGACCACTTTAACCAAATCAAAGTGACCATTAGTACTAATGAGACATATGGACCTCGTGTACCACTGTTATAATGCACTGAGAAAGGCATAGCATTTCTTCTGGGGGTATCCTTGGCAAAAAAAATACATAACATCAGTCTCATCATGAGAAAATATCAGGCTAATTCAAATAGAGATACAGTCTGAAAAATAATGGCTGTCTGAAGTTCTTCACTCGCATTGAGGTCATTAAAGACAGACTGAGGGAGTGTTGTTGTTTAGTGGCCAAGTGGTGTCTGACTCTTGAGACCCCATGGACTGTAGCCCACCAGGCTTCTCTGTCCATGGGGTTTCCCAGGCAATAGTACTGGAGTGGGTTGAGATTTCCCTCTCCAGGGAATCTCCTGACCCAGGGATCGAGCCCACATCTCCTGCATTGGCAGATGGATGAGCCAGCTGAGAAGCTCAGTTAATAGTGTTATGTCAACATTAATTTCCTGGTGTTGATAGCTGTACTATAGCTTATGTCAGAATATTTGAAGAAGCTGGAAGAACAGAGTATAGTAGGATTTCTGTAATATCTTTGCAATTGTAAGTCTGAAATTCTTTCAAAAAAAGCAAAAAAAGGCATGCTTTTATAGGGTTTCAAATCGTTTCATTGGGAATTTCATTTATAAATCACTTATTGAAATTTTAACAATACTTTAACCTTCACTAGGTCATGTAACTTGATCTCTTTAAACAAACTAGCAACATAGAGCTTATGGAAATAAAATGAGCTAGGGAAGGAACTGTTTAATTTTTTAATTAAAATATAGCTGATTTACATATTGTGTTACACAATAACCCACTTTACAGAAATAACACAATTTACATATTGTGTTAATTTCAAGTGTACAGCAAAGTGATTCAGTTATAGATATACTCTCAGATTCAGGAACTGTATTTTAGTGTTGAGCAGTAGAACCAATAGCTAATAGGCATCAAAAAAAAAATTTCAACATGTTGACTATTAAGAGGTTAAGTTGAACTAATTACAGAAATCCTTGATATGCTGTGCTGTGCTAAGTCACTTCAGTCATATCCAACTCTGCGACCCTATGGACTGTAGCCTACCAGGCTCCTCTGTCCATGGGGTTCTCCTGGCAGAAATACTGGAGTGGGTTGCCATGCCCTACTCGAGTGGATCTTCCTGACCCAGGAATCGAACCTGGATCTCTCAATTCTCCTGCACTGGCAGGCAGGCTCTTTACTACCAGTGCTACCTGGGAAGCCCTCTTGACATGCTACCTTGATTTAAAAAGAACTCTAACTAGCATTGATAGGAATACATTAGCAGAGACTAATCAGAATCTCCCCAAAACATACATTCAGTCAAGGCATTTTCAGAGACATACCTTGGATTTCCTGCAGCTGAATTAAGAAGCAGTTCAATTAGCTATTCCAATTGAAGGCCAGCTTCAGTTTCAAGTATAATTAAGCCAGAGTTAGCAGGTCACTCAAGTAAGATGTAAATTGTTGATCATTTCAGAATGAGCTAATTAAGGGAACCCTCCAGTTGACTATGGATTTTATCAGAAAGTGAGGGAATAGTCAAGTCAGGATTTTAATCACTTTTAATCCCTAACTCTCTGAATTTAAACCCTGCCTGCATTTAAAACTACAGATGATTTCCATCAGAAAGCTTCTACTAAATCTTCTCATTCGGAGTGACATTTTAACCTTCTGTAATTTTTATATCCTTTACCAAATCCCCACGAAGATGATCTAACATAATAACAGGGAAAATTCTCCATGATTACTGGGAACTAGGAAAAGGTAACCATCCAAATTTCTAAATTCTTGATAGTCTGAAATTAGAAATGGTGAGCGAACTCCAGGAGATAGTGGAGGACAGAGAAGGATACTGTGCTACAGTCCATGGGGTTACAAAGAGTCAGACACAACTTAGCAACTGAACAAAAACAACCAGAGAAAAATAAGGTAAGGGAAAATGTGAACCATTCCACCATTTACATCTTCCAGAGGGGCTGTGGATTATGGTGGTTGGGTGCATAGGTACTGAATTTCAGCCCTGCTGAAGCCTGATCTGGGGCAACCTCAGCCTATAATACCTGCCTAGAGAGAGGTGGGGGCAGCTCCCTGCGCAGAGCAGAAAATTCTGCTGCATCAGCTCCTGCTGACCTTTGTCAGCTGGCAGTGGGAGGTAAAGACTCAGAGCCCCCAGCCAGCTGATGCCCCCCTGGGAGGGAGAGTGTCCCCACCAGAAGACTTCCCAGGTTTGTGCCCCCTTCCATTACCTGCAGTTTCTACCTTTCATATTAAATTACATTAAATCTACCAAAAAGAGAGACCAAGAATTCTGAAATTTTCCGTTTTTTTTATCTGGAATAGGTTTCTGTTTGTCAGGATAAAATAAATAAATAAAAAAGTATTGAAAACTCACCAGTTTCTGCAGATGAAAAGATGAAACCAGTTGGCCTATTCAGGGAAACTGAGTCTCCATGAAAGAGAGGCATTTTAAGAAACAAGAAAGGTTAAAAAAAAAAAGAAACCAGAGTTAAGAAATTTGAAATATATATTATAAATGAGATATGAGGAAGTATTTTTTTATTCATGATCAATTTACTGGTGCAACTGGAGAAAAAGAGTATTCTTAAAGTATTATATACCCAGCTAAACTACCAATAAAGAATAAAGGCAAAATAAAGACTTGGTAACATTCAAGAAATCAGAATAATATCTTCCATATGTCCCCAAATGTGCTTTGGAATCTGTTGTTGTTGTTCAATTGCTAAGTCGTGTCTGACTCTCTGTGACCCCATGGACAAACAGCACATCAAGCTTCCCTGTCCTTCACTATCTCCTGGAGCTTGCTCAAATTCATGTCCACTGAGTTGGTGATGCCATCCAATCATCTCATCCTCTGTTGTCCCCTTCTCCTGCAGTCAATCTTTCCCAACATCAGGGTCCTTTCCAAAGAGTCGGCTCTTCACATCATGTGGCCAAAGCACTGGAGTTTCAGCTTTAGCATCAGTCCTTCCAATGAGTATTCAGGGCTTATTTCCTTTAGGATTGACTGGTTTGATCTCCTTGCTATCCAAGAGCTTCTCAAAGAGTCTTCTCTGGCACCACAGTTCAAAAGCATCAATTCTTCAGCACTTAGCCTTTTTGATGGTCCAACTGTCACATCCAGTGTACATTCAATAGTGCATGGCTACAGGAAAAACCATAACTTTGACTATATGGACCTTTATTGGAAAAGTGTTTTGGAATAAAATCCAGCAAAATCAAAGAGGAATCCAAGGGGAAAAAATTCAAGAATCAATGGGAATAAACCAGAAGTACAATGAAAAGAAACTCCAGGTACTAACATAAAGACAAATGACATATGGAGGGTGAAAATGCAACCCACACCATCCAAGAAGGTATATATGCATTATATATATCTAAAAAGGGCTCATCCTCGGAACATGTGTGAAGCTCTTAAAGTCAATAGTAAATAAGAAAACCAATCCAACAGTAAGATGGGTAAAAAATTTGGCAAAAAATGATATCCAGTGACCAATAAACATATGAAAAGGTGCTCAACTTCATTGGTCATTTGCCCAAGTCAAAAACACTGTGAAGTTTCTTTACACTGTGAAGAATGAATAATATTTTTAAAAACACACAATACTAAGTGCTGATGAGAGTGTAAAAGAACTGTAACTTTCACACACAGCTCGTGGGAGTGCAAATTGGTAAAACCACTTTGAAAAGTTCCATAAGTTAAACAGAAACCCTTGTATCAAGAATTTGGAATTCCAGATCTTGGCTCTCCTTGCTGTTTACCAGGAGTGTGCACATTGGGAACTCCTCCACAAGAAGCCTGGTGTAGGGACACCAGCAAGAAGCAGATAGCACACTCAGGCTGGGGAGTGTAAGAGAGTTTAATAAATGGATGATGAACAAGCAGGACCCTGACTCCCAGGCTACCACCTGTGGGCTAAACCTTTAGCTGAAATCTGGTTCCTCTCCTCCAGCAATATGTCTCATCACCCCAGGGAATCTAGTATGCCCATTAAAATCTCATCTTTAGACTCCCCTGCATTACAAATCCCGCTTTCACTAGGGGGCGCTGTAATAGTTCCACTTTGAACTGAGGCTACCATCATTTTGGGCTCCCCATGCCAGTGGCCAGCAGGCAAAGAAAGGGATTACTCTAGGAACTGACACTTTGAGCCATAGCGTTCTTTGAGGTGGGGCTGCCCTGTGCACTGTGGTCAGCATTCCCAACCTCTGTGACCTCCACCACCAAAGGTGACAACCCAAAATATCTCCAGACATTGCCTAATGAATCCTGGGGGCCAAAATTGCTCCCTGTTGAGAATCATTGATTTAGGTGATCATCCTCAGCTGTGGGGATGTCCAGGTTTTGGACAATCAGTTGTGACAGTCACTCAGTTTCGTTGGATTTGTTTTATGATCTGTGAGAAGCTAACACAGGCAAGTTAGGATTCCAGGTCAAAGGTCTCAAAATGGCTTCCATGTCCAAGACTACCTTCTCAGACAACAGCAGGCCCTTCCCAGCTCGAAAGGTGGTTTTTCCTGTAAGATATATAAAACACAAGATTTATGCTAATACCTTTTAAGAATATTTGAGGCCACTTGGTATTGAGGAGAGAGAAGGGGCTAGAATCAGAGGGCGGATAGAAGCTGGGTTGAGGCATTGCCGCTGTGCAGGGCTGGGCTTCTGGGGGTGGGGGACAACTTCCTCAGACTGTAGAACAGAACCTGGCCCCATGAGCTTCTCGGCAGGAGTGAACGGCCTCACCCTTGTAAAGCCTCAGAAGAGCCTCAGCTGATGCTTCTCTCCTGGTTGAGGTTGGGCTTCTATTAATAGTCACCCCCCTTCTCCTTTTAACATGCTGTTTCTCCCTCTCATCACAGTGGGTGAGAACCGTCTCAGGGGCGCCGAGCTTGCCTCGCTGCCGCATCCAGTCCTGCTCGTGCTTTTGAACCGGGAAGAACTGACAGCTCCACACAACCGAGACAGAATGTCAGACCTTCATCAGCCTCTCCTGAGTCGGCGTGGAATGACCCCCAAGGATAGGAATGGGCCTGGTGCCCTGGAAAAGCAGGCTTTGGGAAGCCTCTGGATCCACGCAGTGCAAGTTGGCCAATAGGCAGGGGGGTGACTGATTGCCATCTTGGCCCCACTTTTTAGAGCTGACTTAAGTCAGGAGCCAACTGAAGAGCCTTGTTTCAGGGTCTGTTCCTGAGAAAGCTGTTTGCGAAAGGCCAAGGGAAGTCAGGGAGCTAGAACATACGTGTGCAGGTAACACATATACAGGCATACACATGCACACAATCTCACATACACTCAAGTTTCTCATACAGACATATACACTTACACAGAGGTGTACACCCAAGCACCCTCCTAAGTTTCTCATACACACTATGCATTTGCATAGGCGTACACACAAGCACACACACATACAGCTTCTCACGTACACACACGCTTCCTCACGCTCACACACTCACACACTCACTGACCCACACACAGACTCACTCTCATGCTGTTGGGCCGCACGCTGAAGGCCTGCAGGCCTGTCACTGTCCATTGCCAGACTGAAGAAAAGAGCCCACAGACGGTGACAACGGACCTCAAGTGTCCGTTGGACGGGAGTCCTTACACGTCTGCAGCTGAGTCCCTGCAGCGACTCCCCAGCGCGGACAGCACTGGACAAGCAGGACCTGGCAGCAATCTTCACCCCTCGGGGTAGGGGGAGAAGGAGGCTGACTTGCACAGATGGAACTGATGTCAGGTGGGCTCCTCGGTTGCCATGGAAACCAGCAGCTGGGTCACATTCCTCAGGTTAAGCATCAGGGCAGGGGGACAGGGAGCAGAGTTTCCCCCATAATGAACTAGCTGGTGGAGCCATCTGGCCTGCAGCTGCTGCTAAGTCACTTCAGTCGTGTCTGACTCTGTGCGACCCCATAGACGGCAGCCCACCAGGCTCCGCCGTCCCTGGGATTCTCCAGGGAAGAACACTGGAGTGGGTTGCCACTTCCTTCTCCAGTGCATGAATGTGAAAAGTGGAAGTGAAGTCGCTCAGTCGTGTCCGACTCTTCGCGACCCCATGGACTGCAGCGCACCAGCCTCCTCCGTCCATGGGATTTTCCAGGCAAGAGTGCTGGAGTGGGGTGCATTGCCTTCTCCGCCATCTGGCCTAAGGGTTAGAATTAGCTGGGGTGGGGGGCAGATGGAGCAGGGGCTAGGTGGGAAGGGGCGTACAGAGAGCCAGAGAACAGCCGGCCCTGGAGGCCTGACGGATCACGCGCTCCCACGCAGCGCCCACGCGCTCCCACGCAGCGCTCACCCCGTCAACCCCCAGCTCCCGCTTCCCGCTGTGACTCAGGGCTCCCATGATGGGCTTGGCACTGGGTTCGCGGCGTCCTCCAGCCGCCTCGTCCCGGGATGAGTCACAAACCTCGTGTTTGTGTCGCCGCTTGGAGGAGCTGGGCTTCGTCCAGGTGCTCTCTTGGACTGCGGGGGACGTGCGGGGGAGGAGGGTAGGAGAAAAGCAGGGTCACTCTGGACCAGGGATGAAGAGAGGAGTTGTGAGCGGAGGAGACGCCCACTGGCGCCCAGCCTGGGGGCCTCCAGGGGCCCCGCCTGCCGCGGGAGCAGAGGCCAGGGGCGGGGAGCCATCTGCTCCCCCACCCGAGGAGGAAGCAGTCTGCCTCCCGCAGGAGCCGGCTTAGACGCTGGGGGAAATCTGACGTGGAAGGGCGTCTGCCCCCACCCACCCCCTCACCGGCTCCGCTGAGTGAGCTAAGTCAGAGCGGCTTTACAGCTGTTACGCTTTGAGCCGACGTGGCATTCAGAAAAATCCCAGCGAACAGGACGTTTTAGTAAATAAATGTGCTCTCCTGAGATTCAGGAGGGCCTTTATCTGAGAGGTGTTGCTACGGATCAGGAGGAGCTGAGGAACAATAATGCTGTCTCTGTTTCTCCAGGGTAGGGGTTAATATTTCTTTTTTAAGGCAAAAGGCAAAGAAGAATATTTTAGCTGCCAGAAATGCATGAACTTAGGAAACTTGTCTAAACTGCTTCTCTAAGAGGCTTAGATCCCGTGACTCACGGAGGGCCAAATGCAACTGAGACTCCCTTCCCAGCAGGCCGTCCGTCCCACATGTGGAGGCCTTCTGAGAGAAGCTGGCAGGCGTTCCTCCTGAGCGCTAATGAGCAGGGAGGCTTCCCACCAGGTTCGAGGGGAAGGAGCCCAATCAGAGGCCTCCTCGAGGGGTGCGGGGACCAGCTCCACAGCCTCGCATTTCCTTCAGCACCTCCAGGAAACAAACCCCAGATGGCTCAGAACATGGGTGGGTGCAGGTGAGCGGCTCTACGCGGTGACCCCGCACGGAGGCGGGGCTCTGGGCGCTGACCTGGGACGGCTCGGAGGGGCCCTTGGGTGGCACTGGGGAGGGTGGCCCAGTGGCTTGGAGTTGGGGTCTTCGTGGGACCCTGGGCTCAGATTTCATTCAGGGAGCGCCTGAAGACCAGACTCAGGCCTGACTCAAGAGTGGGTGAGGTGCGGGGCACCCAGGGAAGTGTCCTGGACCAGCCTCGGGTCTCCCACAATACAGAGGATTGGCCAGGTGGGTGGGGGACCGGGGTTGGGGGGACAGGCTGAGGGTTGATCCTCCTGGCTAGGGGCTGGCCTGGGGCCAGGTGCTCCACACCTGTGTCCCCTTCAGATTCAGAGAGCAGTCACATGCCCTGTCCCCATGGCTGCAGGTAACTGCATGACCTGTAGAACCCTGCACCCCATGTGCAGACCCTGGTTCAAAGCCGAGGTCAGCACAGGGCCCCCTTCGCAGTCCTTAAAGTGAACCTGAGGTGAGGGCCTCAGCTGAACCCAGGAGGGAAGCCAGATGGGCTGCCTGGGTGGAACCTTCAGGCCGGGTCTCCCCTGGTGCTACCCCACGCCCTGTCCAGGGAGGGCGCCCATGTTGGCAATGCCTTGGTGGGATACACAGCAGAGAGTGCCTGGGAAGGGTGCATGGGAAGAAAAGGAAGGAGACAGATGAAGTGAGTTTTGGTGAATCATGTCTGCTATCCTTCAACTTTTAGTGGGTGATCTTAAGCTTGTGTGTATATACATAGTAATATTGGGGCTCCCCAGGTGGCACAGTGGTAAAGAACCCGCCTGCTAATGCAGGAGATACTGGAGACAAGGGTCTGATCCCTGGGTCAGAAGGATCCCCTGGAGGAGGGCGTGGCAACCCAGTCCAGTATTCTTGCCTGGAGAATCCCATGGACAGACAGCCTGGTGGGCTACAGTCCACAGGGCTGCAAAGCGTCAGACACAACTGAAGTGACTAAGCATGCATGCATATATTTGAGTTTAAGTGCATTTTAAATTTGGACGATGCCAGAGTGCTTCAAGGGTTACACTTCAGACTTTAAAGAAATAAAATCCTCTTCCTGGTAGAGAAATTTACTCAATTAGACAAAAATGCTGGTTCTTTTTCTTCAAATGTTGAGACACATTTTTGGACTGGGGCCTTTTAAAAAATTCTCACTTTTTGAAATGCTGCAAATTCTTTTTCAGGAACTGACATTAAGGATATTTAGTCTGTTAAAATTCACAATCCTATGTTAGAAAACAGATTAAGCGCTTAGTGACCCTCCTAATTCTTGTCTAGACCAAACCAGACACAGAAAACGGCCACAAAATAATTGAGTTAGTCTAAACCAATGCTTTTTAACAATGGAAAAACCTTTGACACCCTGTGTTTTTAATTACAGGATGGGTTCATAAATGCCAAAGTTTCTAAGTATATTTTGAAGTTAATTGAATGATTAATTTCTCCAAGAAAGCTCCTACTCCCCTGGCAGCAAAGAGGCTGAGGGAGCTGAGGACCTTAGTCACAACCAGTGCTGATGTCTGGGAATGGTTTTGGTTCTGTTGTTGAGGTCTGGCTTCTCTTATAAATGAAGGGTCACAGAGAGAAAGGGGGAGAGGATGCTGTTCCAGGGGCTGGGTTGTGGTGACTTGGATGGACAAAATTAAGGTTGGTTGTAGCCAAGCTCCATAAAAAGTGGACAACCGGCACAGCGGTGTGTGACTCCCTCAAAAATGCATACAGCACGCCAGCTCTATTTTGCATGTGTTCTCAGTCGCTGAGTCATGTCCGATTCTTTTGCGACCCCATGGACCGTGGCCCACTAGACTCCTCGGTCCCTGGGGATTCTCCAGGCAAGAACACTGGAGTGGGTTGCCATTTCCTCCTCCAGGGGTTCTTCCTGATCCGGGGATCGAACCCATGTCTCCTGCACTAGCAGGAGGATTCTTTACCTGGAACCAACTGGGAAGCCCCCATTTTGCAAGTGTCCCTGAAACAAACAGAACAGCCAGCATCTAACAGTCTGACTTAGATGGAAAGAGAGTTCTTGCTCCAAGCAGGCGCCCCTTGTCTCCTGTGCTATGAGAGGAAAGTTGCTTCTGGCTCATACAAGGGTGCGCAGGCTGAGCGAGGCCCCCGCTGTGATGGGCACACCGCCCCAGGATGGAGTGTCTGTCTGTCCCTAACCACGTGGTGACTCTCCACGTTCACCAACGTCACCTCTTGGGCTTCCCTGGTGGCCCAGTGGTAACGAAGCTGCTTGCACTGCAGGAGACGCGGGTTTGATCCCTGGCCGGGGAAGACCCCCTGGAGAAGGAAAAAAAACAGCCCACTCTAGTAATCTTACCTGGGAAATCCCATGGACAGAGGAGACAGGTGGGTTACAGTCCATGGGGTTGCAAAGAGTCAGACCTGACTTAGCGACTGAGTGCAACCTCTTGACTATGCATTGCCCTCTTCAAGATACTTTTCAGACCCTTAGTCTAAAGTCCTTTGGGATAGCCTATCTCCTTATTGGACTCCTACCCTAAAACATGAGTCCTGAAGGACAAGCATTTCCTGGCTTGTGGCTTGTCAATCACAGCTTTCTCCAGGCAACTAACAACTGTGGGGCTTTGGCCCTTGTTAGCCCCTGACTCTGTTTCTTCCCTGGAACACTCTGGGAGTTACCCAAATCTGTTTCTCAAACTGCAGTTGAGCTCTCTGCTCACTCACTGTATAAACCAGGACGCAGAACACTGATCACCAGGGTTGATGTGGCTGTACTTGA